ACAAGGAGTTAAAATTACGTGAATTATGATGTGAAATACAAATACAAGCACCAAAGGGACCTGTAAGAGGTGATTAGTTTTATAAGATTGTCCAACAGCTATATTTTATGACTAGTAAAATGTTACATCTCTAAGTTTTCTTTGCATTAATGATCCTGTAAGAAAAGCTGTTATGTTACATACTTTGCAGTGTCTCAGTAAACTTTACTCTTCCACTATTAGCTCAAAAGTACTTAAATGTTCACTGTGTTTGAAGTTTCTTATTTGATCCCCATATTAGCACATATACCGTGTTCACATGGCAAACTAGATTACATTCATTTTCATTCTGACCACAAATACAGTCAGACAGCAGATAGACAAAAGAATATATCAATTTAATTGAAAGTCATCTTCATCAGAGTGCACCATCTGGTAAGAGTAAAAATGCCTAAAAGCTTTTCACTGTTCAAGCTTATTTTGCATCACTTTATACCTATCTTTACTAATATTGTTCTCTTGAGCAGCCAGCTATTACAGAGGGCTTGGGAAAGCCATTAAAATTAAAGGTTTGTTTGCAATTTTATTTGCAGATCACTTTACAAACAATTGAGTATTTATTACCTAATTATAAAAAGTTTTTTATGTTGAAAGTGAACTTTGAAAGCCTTTTCCTGAGGGAACACTTCCAAGTTGTATTTATTTTCAAATGAAGTCATCACCGCAGAATTTGCCCAAATTTGAAGAACTTTGAGTGCGACTTGTACCATGGCTGGTTAGCATTCTCCTGAAGCTTTCCATACACTTGTAAAGGATTTATTTCCTACCTGAGTCTCAGTTCTGATTCTATGGCCGAGCATTTTTCTTTTCTTTATATATTTTTATGTATATTTTTATATTTTTATTTGGCCTAAATGCATGTTGGTATGGTTCATTAGGTTCCTGATAAAAAGCAGAGGCCACAAAGCAGAGAGAAGTCTGGCTCTTTGCTCTTGACATTGGTATTTTTTGAGATAATTTCTCTCTCTACAAGTGGACTCTTCAGTGTGACAACCCTTTCGCTTTTCAATATTCACTTTTCTTCCACCCTGATAATGAAGCTGCTCTATCTGCTGCCCCCAGCTCCTCGCAGCAGCAGGGGCCCTGCCTGGAGCCTACACAGGAGCACAAATCTTTGCAGGTACCAGAAACCCCAGGAGGGTCCTAAACATCTGGGAGGTGATGTGGGAGGTGTATGACTGGTGGGCAAAGAAGCACCAGAAAAAAAAAAATAAAGAGAATTTCAAAATCTGTTCTTTAGAGGCCTCAGGACTCCAAAAAGTCAGCTGGCAGATGGAAGCCTGGAGAGAAAGCTAACAGACTGCCTGGAAATGCAGAAAGAGCAGCGCAGGAACTTGATTCCCTATAAAGCCAGTGGAATTCACTGGAATACCAGTCCTGCTCCTCGCAGGTGTCTGCCCACACTCCCAGCTCCCACATCGCTAAAATAGGCAGCCCTTCCTCTGGAGCTACTGATGCTGGGCACGCAGAACCTGTCACTTGCGCAGGCCGCGAAGCGAGGGGCGCAGCGAGGGTATGATGCTGAGCGCCCGCAGGACTGCTCCTCATCCAGCACCACGTGGAAACGGGGCTCCTTCACATGATTCCTTCTCCATTCAACCCCTGCTCTGCTTTGATTTTAAACCAGAAAACAGAAAAAAGCTGCTTTCACTCCCCCAAACATACAGTACATGCTTCCTATTTGTTCCTTGAATATGTGTTTAAATTGATAGTTGTGCCCAACTCCATTTTTCCAGCATTATCTCAGAGTCTTTTTTTTTCTTTTGGCAGCACATGGCAAAGCTTTCAAACGCTATCTGCGCACTTAAAAGAAAGAAAAAAAAACCCAAACCCTTGACTGTGCTGGGTTTCATGCTCTCTGTAAGGTATTGGATGTATCAGCATGCTTGAGATGCAAAAAAAGGAAGAGGCCTGTCTTTGTCTGGCCAGTTTTGCATACAGTGTAACTAGGCCTGGACCTAACTATTTTATACAGACTGTTTCCCATTTGTGGTGGGAAGTAGAGCACATGGGCAAGTAGCAGATGTTTTCCTTTAGTCCTCCATATGGGTGCCCAATATGTGAAAATGATTTTCTGGCAGGAGGTGTTAGGGGGGGGCTGTGGTTCCTTTTGCGCTCTACGTGCCCCTCAGATTTCCTGGGGCTCTCTTTTTCTCCTCAAGATCAGAATTCAGTCTCTGTGTGGAAACGTGAGAACACACTATCACCCCGCACAGGTTTCAATTTGGGCAATCAGTATCTCCAACTCTAGAGATTTGCACTAACACAGAGATTTGCTCTGAGCGTGCAAAGGATCATCCCAACTGTCAAACTCTTCCATGGCTCGTTAAGAAAAATGAAACATATTTTAAAGTATTTTTAAATTAAAATTAAATTTAAAAGATATTTTAAGTATTTTTAAACATCCTTTCTGGGATTGTTCCTGGACCCGTTTCATTAAATAGTTAAATTGGGATGCAAATGCTGCATTTCTTCAGTTAGTTACAGGGGTTCACAGCCTAACTGCTCCATATCACTCCTTTTTATGATTCGGGGCAGGTGGTATGTGCGGTTTTGCCAGGTAGGGAACTTTATAAAGCACAGTACTAGCTGCATCCAGGAGTAACTTTCTTCTACCAGTCAGACCAAGCTGTGAATTACGGAGCTAGACGGAAACAGGGACTTCTACTGACAACTGTCACCTCTCACACAATAGTTTCTGCTGCTAAGAAGAGAAAGAGTTTCTGAGAATCTTTCTGATTAAATTTTCAAGGCATCTTAGGCAGAGGTACTATTTATTTCCCACTGTAATAATGGCATTGTGCGATCTGGAGGTAGGAGGAAAACATAAATATGTCATCTTTGTACTCCAAGTTTGCCCTGATTTGTTGATCAAACCATGAGAAGGTTCAAAAGAAGATCTAGTCCAAACAATCTGATTCCTGAAATTAAATTTTGATTCTAACCTTCGTTAGTCAGTAAATGCAAAAAAGGAGGGCCCCAAAAGGGGCTTTTAGCCTATTGCTAAAGGAAGAGAGACAACAGATACTGAAATGGGTTTCATCTTTCAGCTGCAACCTAAGAATAAAGCTTCTAAGTGCACAGCTTCACCAAAACTCTTGAGGTGGTAACAGCTACTTGTAACAGGCGCCACTTAAATTCCCACCTAGGTTATGGCATTGAGCCCACTTAGGTATTTCCTTCCAGTCTGGGGCAGGGGCAGCACCCTGTTGCTGTTGTATGTCGATTTGTAGCACAAATCTGCAGTTCCCACTTTAGCAGCAGCTGGAAATCTCAGCGACTCCTCAGTAACTGGTAAGGAGCTTTGGAATTCCTATCACTGCCACCCTCATGATAGCATTCCTCCCTGATACCCTTGTTTACCTGCTCTTGGTTACCCCACGGCATATTATGAGCAAAAACTTAGGTGAATTGCTTCACGTTTCCTTCACAGAAAAGTTGACTGCGCCATAGTGAAAATGCCATGCGTAGAAGAATGATAAATATGCAAGAGATGAGTGTTCACTCAATTACCTTATGCCCCCGCTACCACTGCGGATGCTTTTTTTGACTTTCAAGTAAGGAACGTGCCATGAGTGAGTAACAAACAAAACCTTTTGGCCTAGGAACACAGCGTGTCAACTGCATGGGGTCTGAAGCTACCTGTATCACTGACTCTGGTGACATCTACTCAAATCCAATGAATTCATAGCTGCTGACCACAAGCTTTTGTAAATTAAGCCTTTGGAATAGCTATCCCAGCTCATCCACAGATGCCAAAAGGGCACATGAAATACCCCAAGCTATTTCAGTCTTAGCAGAGAAGGTGTTAAATAACACATTTTGCTGTTTAACTCAAACTTACCCTCCACTCCTTTAAAGAAGAATCTTCCTTAGAAGAATTTTATAAGATTTCTAAAATCTCACAAAAACACCTCTGAGAGCTACCAAAGGAGGTGCAAGGGGTTAATGAAATGTACTTAATTTTATAGACTGAGAATACAATTATGGCATTTTAGATCACAAGCAAACATTATTATATAGGCTTCCTAGCACTCTTTACAGCAGTAAAGCGTTTAGTACAACTACGACCCGCAGTCCATGCTCGGTGGAGTTCAGACACACAAAGTTTTTAGCCTGCAGGATGTATCAGCACCTCAGTGCGACAGCATCTTCTACAGAACCAGCTGAGCCGTGTTGGGACTTCCTGGCTGTACAGAAGTGAGGCCCCAATGGCAATAAAGTCACTTTGGACACATCGCTGAAGACAACAAACATCTACTAAAGACAGGAATTAACAATCTTTTGCCAATGCTATAGCTTTTTTTTCCCTAAGAGATACTCATAAAAATACTGATAAATATTGCAGATGAATTAAGGGTGAAAGGTTTTGTGCTTTACTGTGGTTTGTACCCAAAATCTAAACATTTTAATACTCTGTTTACTGCAACACTGGATGGATTAAACAGAATTTATATGGCATTTGTGCTTGACAAAAGCCTAAGGCATAAAATTCAAAACAGAAAATATTTTTCCATGCCACATATATATGAAACATAGAATTTGCTACTTTGCTGATTTGCTAATTAAGATATGAGAATTGCAATTGACATGAGAGGAGGAAGTTAGAAGAAAATATGAAGAAAGAAAAGAAGAATGGTGGAATGAGAAGAGAAGATGATGGGAAATCTGGAGACAGCATAGAATTTGACCAAGATGGATCACTTTGGCAAAACCCTATACTAATTTATTTTCTTCTTAAGAACTGCAGTATTGTAGTTTATGTATATATGCATTTATCCATACAGTTATTTATTACCTCCAAGCTGACAAGGAGTTGCTTACTGGCACCACGTTTTCTTTGTGGAAAACAAATGCTGCAAACAGGGTGTAAATCGACTTTCCCTCCTGCTACCAATAGCCTGCATTCACCCCTCCTTTCTCAGGCTGTGTTGTTGAACCTCTCAAGCCGCTTTACCTACCAGCTGTGTAATTCTGCAAATGCAGCTTTGATCTTCTTCACCGAATTATCCACTTCCTCTTTGATCATCATGCGGTATCTGGTCAGAGAAACAGTGCAGCGCTGCAAATCTTTCAGTGATTTTTCAATGTTTGGTCCTAAAATCGAAACCAAAAATAACGCAAAAGTCAGAAAGATGATTTTAGCTATTCTAAATGAGGGAGGGGGAATACTTAAAACATACTACTTGCGCACATTAGACTAAAATAGTTATCTTCTCAAAACCCACAAACCCATTTTTGTCAAAGTTTTTCTATGGTGCTACTCATTTTCTAAACATGCATATTCAAACTCATTCCCCAAATCAAATAGAATTCACGATTCATTTTAAATTGCACTTTAAGTCAACCGTTGATTACCCTGCTCAATTTTGTTATGCTGAATACAATTCTACTCTCACTTTCTGGCACATCACTTCCCCCTTATGTATTCACTTTTCCGGAGGCATCAGCTGTCTGACCACCTCTCTACACAGAGGCTGAACGAAGAGATCTTCTTTACCTCTTTTTTTAACTGAATCATCTGGCTTTGTTTCAAGGTGGGTTGTAGAGTTGGATGGTTTAACCGAGGAAGTTTTTGACTTTGGCCTGCCTGGGTTACACTGAAGTTGAACTGATGACTGAGGAGGCTCGCATTGTTCTACTCCGTTTATTGACTTTGGGGTTAATTCCATGGATATTCTCTGCTGTTCTTGTTCTTTATCTGCAAGAAAACAAAGTTGGAAAACAGGGAGTTAGAAGCTTTAGAAAGATTTCATGCCTTGTTGTTGAATCTGAATGACTTGATGTTTATATACCGGAGCACTAGTTTTTCTCTTGCTGGCACACATTCTGCAGAATGTTTGAAAGCAGTGCCGAAAAAAAATAAAAATATTTTGGTGATTTCACACCAATCTGAACACATCTATATTTTAACAGTCTAAAAAGAAAAGACTTTTCTATCCCGGTATGGTAAAAATATCTCATTGCACAGACATCATCTTCATCAAAGCGTATCCATCACTTGAAATCTTTGCTTGTCTATCAGAGGACAGAACTAGAGAGAAGAAGATTGCTATGGAATGTAAGAGATTTTAACGTTTGATAAAAAATACGACACAAACATTGAACGTTTAATCAATATTAAAAATGTTTATTAAACATTCTTAGCAGAAAGATTTATCCTGTTTTGACTACATAGAGCTAAATTAAAAGAAGCTGTTAAGCGGGAGCAAGCAGGAAATAAAGCAATGTAAGAAGATTAAGCTCCTTCCTTCCAAAGGGATTCACAGAGATGCCACCATCATCAGACACAAACAGCCAAGAAATGGCTATAAAAGCTGATCTGTAAGGCCAGCTACTGGGAAGGAAAAATGCATAGAAAAGGTTTTGTCGTGTTTACCCATTTTTCTAATCACCGTATTCCCTTTGGCAAATGAACAATAGGTTGTTCTGAAGATGCTGTTTGTGCACCACTGATGCTACATGGTGCCCGTGTCAGCTTAAACCTGCAGGATAGCTCACAAATTGCAATTTATACTGCTGGAACCGAGGGATTCCCCCGGGCTGCTCCAGGAAGTCAAACAGCAACTTGCGAGTGCCTTGACCGGCCTCTAGAACAGGCAAAAAGTAATTTTTTCTGTTTCCTTTGCAAGCACGTAAGGTCAGAGGAATGAAGAGGAGCATTAGTGCCCACATTTCTAGAAGAGCATCACATACAGCAAAAATAAGAGTATTCTGAATGCTGAAAACATTTTGGTTGTTCACGGAGAGGTAATAGGTGGGCCTGCAGACAAAAAAAAAATGATTTTACACCAAATATTGCCGATTAAAGAAACCTGCATGTCTGTGAAGACAAGAAATACCAGATATGCAGCACTCTGAGTATGTCGAAGCCTGCAATATCATAGAATCATAGAATCATAGAATCATAGAATGCTTAGGGTTGGAAGGGACCTCTAGAGATCATCTAGTCCAACCCCCAATATACATGAGTAGTTAGGGAAGTAGTAGCTAGGAGTCACCTCTGGCAGGTTTTTATACTGCTGTACATTTTTTTGGTGGTCTGGAACTTCAGCACTCGACTAGTATTAATGGCTGAATGTTTGTGAGGTCTGCCAGGAATGGAAACAGCCCCCAAAAACTTGTTTTGACTCTCCAGCTGAGCTGGAAACTGTGAACACCTTGACATTCAAAAGCTTTTATATAAAAAGTGAATCTCAAGGAATTCTTTTGCTGGAAAAAAACTGTCTCGAGATAATACCTGGATGATTTTAGCCAGTCCCTCCAACTTCCTAGACATGCAAAAAAAAAACAAACAAACATTTAGAAAAAGCAGGAACAAAACCACCATCTGATTTGTATCTGCTTTTACCTGAGCCCATGCACTTGCAATAAGGTGGCCAAGTAGTCCTAAGTATGTTTTCCAGGTGTTTATGCTACTTCTTTACCAGATCCTGTGTTGCTGAGAGCCCTAAGAAGGTTAAGCAGTTGATGGCAGACACTCTATTATTACCCCTTAGAAAACACTTCTTTCACATGAAAAACTTGGCCTTTATTAATGCATGGATCCAGTTTGGGGAAACAACAACAAAAAAAAGGCACCTCTAAGAAACCTAACATGACAGCTTGGCATATATATGTATCACATAATATCGAAGAAAAGAATACGTGAATATCAAGCTTTCAGCATGAGTGATAAGAATGCTTTTAACATTATGGAAATGCAGATTTTTTGGCTTATAGCATATTTCTACACATAATAACTGGGAATCTTTGTACCTTCTGTGCAAGGGTGGGAAGAACATCACTGCTCCTCTGCCAAGGCAATAGAAAAGTTGATTCTTAGAAATAAATTTCTTGAAAAATAATTCTGCTGTTTAGCTACTCTGTTTCATGAGCTTTGTATTTAAGCAGCCAGACATTGGCACTACTATCAAAGTCTCCCGAAGCAACAGAGAAGGAAATTTCAAGGGAAGTGTATTTGTTTTTTATTTTATTCTTAAAACACTTATGTACTGCCTAAAACACAAGTAGTAAATGCTAACATAACACCAGTAAGGCCTCTCTAGCTACTTTGATCCTTTCCCCCCGCTTTGGAAATAATGGCATTCGCATCCTCATCTTGGAAGAACTGTGCAAGAAAACTGTGCCTAGGCATTGATCTACTCATATGGCTTTCTGAAACAGCCACATACATTGTGCAAGTATCTTAATTTTTCTTCTCCCCCTTCTCTCCATGTCCCCCTCCTCCTTTTTTTTCTAATTCTACTTCATGGTGGTAGAAATGCCAAGATCTTTAAATATGTGACCTTGGCTCTTATCAGGAAAAAATACAGACACACTGACCAGTGATTTCTGGGCAGACTGGTGCTGACTGCACAAATGCTGAGCTTCTGTTTTCAAGACCAGTGGCTTCCAACTTTTCATTGGCAGAATTACTGCAGGAGTTATCCTTAGAGCGCCTGTTCAGATGGCAGCCATGTATTCCCTGGGGCTCCCGAGTTGCCTTCTCAGGTCCAACATTCTTATCTTTAGGATCTTTATTGCCTTGGAGCTGTTTAGATTTGCTTCTTTTTCTCCTGTTGTTCTGAATAGAGATATATCACAAGAACAGAGAGATTACTCTGTGCAGGTCATACCAGTTTAGAATACAATTAGTAAATTGTCCATACCCGTTAGTTTTGAAAAATGCCATAAAAGCCACATCTCTTATAATGCACGTTCCAGGTCAATCTGTACTATGTAATACCTTGTATCTGTTCAGCTGAATGTATATAAATGGTTTCAAATCAAAGCTGAAGACCCAAACTGGTCTTCTCCTTTCTCGCATGCGGAATATTTACATTTCAGAATGGTGACGGAGTCTGTGCTAAAAGGATGTTCAAAAAATCTGCAATCGTCTTGGACAAGCAATTCGCAACCATGAAAGGTTGGGAGATAAACAGCACAAAAATATCCCAGATAGCTACTGAAAATGCCTGACTTGACAGTGTCGCTAATAGATGATTCCTATGCACAGATTAGTCCTATGGCAGCAAAAGCTCTTCCTGCTCTAAGTGGCTGGGGCTAGCCAGGACACAACTGCATATTCCATGTTTCCGCAGCGTCCGTGTGCTGCTTTGAGATTCATTCTGTACTTGCCCAAAGCCTGCACATCTCTCCCTCCCCGCTACCGCACATTCTCGGAGAAATTCCCTCATGTAGAACACTAGGGAAACACCAACAAAAGAACAAGATTAAAAATAACATACATGCTGGGTTTCAGGTCCTCTGAATACAGGTGGGGATCGAGTTACTTATGCAGCAAATGCAGACAAAGCAGAGGAAAATAATACTCCTGGAGTACTAGGGACAGCTGAAAAGTGGTCTTAATGCTTTGATTCCCAACAGTAAGTCCTTACCTTCTTTTTCCCTGTCATATTCCATTCTTTTAGAACCTGAATTGCACTACCTAGAGGGAAAAAAAAAAAAAAAAAGAAAAAAAAAAAAAAGAAACATTTAACAAATGATCAGCTATGAAAAGAAACAAGTGTATTCAGGAACCGTTTCTAGTTTGTGGCTGGGAAGCTTTTCCATTTGTTATTGTGAGTTCTCTGGTCCTAGGAAAACAAACAGATCACTGCTGGCTGTCTCCTTTTCTTTGTTTCACTTTTATTAATCTGATTCCAAGGTGCCTAATTTTAAACACATGAATTTCTAATCTGTGTGTAAGTGCATCTGATAGTTACATTTAGATACATACATAGCTACCTCAAAGGTTACATTATCTTTTGGCAACACCATGTTTCAAAATGGAGAAACAAATCTACACATATGCTGCCCATTTCACTCCATGCTGATTAACCTAAGTGATTTCACATGACAGTTTTATTAATCATTTTCAAAGTAGTATCTGACACTTTTGTGTTGGCTAGTGTTGTCTTAGCTTTGCTTCTCGTAACTTCTGCATGAATACTGTGCACATTGAGGGTTATTTTAGGCATTTCTCACATCCAAATCAAAGTTTCCTGCCGTTGGAAAAGCACTTTCTGAGCAAGTCCTGAACCCATTACCCAACCCACCAAGATATTTTATTGAACACAGCCACAAAACAGCCTGGACAGACCCCCTGTATCTGTTCAAATAGGTAAATGCTCATACAGCAATTTTAAGAGCTTTTTAAACTCAGGCTTTATCCATAAGAGAAGCAGCACTTATAGACCACTCTAGATACAAAGCAAGATAAGAACTGATGCCAGAAAACTGATTTTGGGCATCTTCAGCTGTTCTTTGAATTCAACATACACTAATTCTGTCTGAGAGAGGTATTAGATGCTTTTCATCAGAGGCAGCATGTTCTCTACAACTGTGCAATACTTCCACCTTGGCAACTTTGTGCCTCTTGCGGACAGATTCTTTAAGTGCTATATTCACACTGCTCACAGGGGCATCTGAATAGATGCACTTCTGTCCGCATGTCAGTTCACTCGAGTAGCACTTGAATAACTCAGCTTTTGTCTTTCAAATAAGGGTACTCTGTTTCAAGATGGTGATAAACACTGGCTGCTTTCAAATTCGTACTTTCAGAGACTATTTAAAGACTACTTAGGACTACTTAATAAAAGGCATAATGATCATAAACTGTCTCAGTTCAGATGAAGCCCATCTGAACCCAGATTACAGCAGCTGCTTTTTCTTCAAAGCTTTGCTTCACACTTGCAAGATTTCCTCCGAAACTTTGTCTTTTACTCATAGCGGGAGATGGCACCAGCTACAAAAGCCCTTTCCCCACCGCAGGCCCGAGTTACTCCTCAATTCTGAGCGCGCAGCAGAAACGTTTTCACTTGGTGATTTCATTCTGAGACATCAGTGCCTTTTGTCTTCAAGCCACAAATCTGCAGCCAAACACACGATGAACAAGAACAGCGGGTGAGGAGAAGAGAACAGGTAGGGCTGGCATCATGCCGAGCGGCACCGCTGTATGAAGCAGCATGAGACCGACCGCACAATTCAGTAAAGGAGAAAAGCCATGTCTACCACTGCAGCAGAGCACCAAGTACCAAGAATGCCTGAAACCCCGACGCTTCTGGCCTTTACACTTCAGATAAAACACAGGGTAGTGACAATGACCCCGAGCTACAAGAAAACTGAGATACAGAAACAGGAGGCCGCTGGTCCACTCCAGCCGAGCATCTCCGCTGCGGCTCCTGCTCAGTGAGTTTTCTCTTCTGGGAACTGTAAGCAGCTTGGGAAATGCTCTGAAATGGTGGAACAAGTGTTTCGTGGAGCCAGGAGCAGCTTTGAGCTTCTGAAACACCTATTCCTTTTTAACAATGCAGGAGGTGCCTGTGACATTTGAGGAGGGCAGGAGAATAGCAGGAAAAATGGGACGTCTCATACAATTATGGGAGCCATCACATTGAAAATAACTCATTGTGCATAAAATGAGGAATAGTGGCTCAAGACAAAATAAATTGAATCAAATGAACATACTGAATAACCACGCAACAACCCTCTGCTCTCCAGGACATACACAACAGGAAGAGATGGATGGGTTTTGTAGGAAGACATCGACGGGTTTTGCACATCCTCGCCTTCGGCTGCCTTGTGGTTCACTGCGGGAGCTGGGGTTGTTTAGCGTGGAGAGGAAGAGGCTCCGGAGAGACCTTACGGCTCTCTACAACTATCTGGAAGGAGGCTGTAGTGAGGCGGGGAGGTTCGATCTCTTCTCCAGAACAACTACAGGTAGGACAAGAGGAAATGGCCTCACGTTGCGTCAGGAGAGGTTCAGGTCAGACGTTAGGAAGAATTCCTACACGGAAAGGGCAGTCAAGCACTGAAGAGGCTGCCCAGGGCAGTGGTGGAGTCACCGTCCCTGGCATTGTTGAAGAACCGTGTGGACGAGGCACTCAGGGACATGGTTTAGCAGGATGGTGTTGAAGAGCTTGCGCTTGGACTCGATGATCTTGGAGGTCTTTTCCAACCATAACAATTCTATGATTTTATGAAAATGACATTGTTGCAATTAGATGCAATCCATGTATCACCTTTTCCTCATTGTATGGGCATACGTAAACTCTAATTTCAATAAATCGATCAGAATAAACAGTTCAATAAAATCTGCTTGTCTCTGCAGATTTCTGAATAAAAAAGCACCATAAAGATTTCACTGAACAACTCAAGACGAACTTGTAAATATAGGTCAGTTTGCTCACATCTGCTTTTAGCATATCACTGTGTAATTTGTAATACATGATGACGCTTCTTGTATGATTTATCTCAGTGAGTTAATTCAAAAAAAAAAGCAAAAAAGAAATAAAATAGATATGAAAGAAGCCACTCAGTGATTCTAAGTTTCATGCTGTCTCTACAGCCTGATGGTACTGAAAGTAATGATTTCCTCTTTAATATATCCAGAGCTTTTGAGACCACTGAACATCTAGTACATTTAAAATTACTCCAAGAAGAGTTTGATAGGATTTCCTCCTGATATACCATTATTTCTGCATACAGAATTCTTATAGATCTTGATGAAAGTTCAAAATTCTTGCCATTATATGTTCAACAAAAAAGCATTGCTTAAATACAAGTGACCTTTCTTACAGATAGTCTCATGATGGAAAAATGCAAAGCCAGCTACAGACTTAGAGAGATTCAAATGTCGATGGAGTCTTAGTTCTGCCATCACAGGGGTGAAGGCTATTTGCAAAACTCACATAGAGGTTTGAATGTCAATACACACACTAAGTTCAAAGGTTTAGTGGCTTGGTTATCTGCTTTAGAACTATCCTCAATTTTTAACAGTTATTTTCTCTTCAATAATGAATCTTACTGTGACAAATCTGGAGTATTAGCTTTTGCGCAGAATATATGAAGGCAGATATTCTCTGCATCAATAACGGTAACAAAAACAGCAAAGTCAGAGAGCAGATAAATAGCCAGGTCAATCTTATACTGTGAAGAAGCAAAGATGCAGACAGAAGTTACAAAAAAATGAACAGGCAAAGTGTCACAATCACCAGGCAAAGTGTCACAAAAAGTTCATCTTCAATTGAACAACAGAATACATTTCAAGACGCTAAAGGCAATGAATACATTTATACATAGTGAAATAAATACTTCAAGCTTTAGCGAAAAAGGTACTCACCATCCATAAAAGCTTGAACAGCTTTGTCTACGTTGTTGTCAAACTGCTGCAACACCAAAACTATCTCATTATTGCTTTTGTTTGGGACAATTGATCGGATTGCATTGATCTGGAAGGAAAAAGAAGACAGGTAATAACCTACATGCTTATCACATTCCCACAGATAAAAATGTTATTTCTGTACAAACACATGTTTATATAAATACATATATATACAATATACAGGTATACAACAGGGTATCTGCAGAAAATAGGACCATGCCTCTTTGGCTGACCAATGTAAGTAACAAGCAATTTCTTCCAGAGACCAAATTGGAGAACTGCTAACCAGTAAGTCTGGAGCCAAACCCTCCCCTCAGTCACATCTGGAAAACTAGTTTCACCAAACTGATGAAATTTGTCCCTGTGCTTCTTTCCTGAATGTGTCTATGCCTCCCTGCTGCCATGTGACTCAGTGAGCCACATCAGCAGCAGGAACTTACAGGGAGTGCAGCTGCTTTAGCAAGGCTGTTGTGAGATGCTGCTCCATTAAAGTTTTAACTTGACTGCTGGTCTCTGACAGCTGGAAAAGCTGTCACAGGCTAGGAGAAAACAGCATTATTTTTAGAAGTCTGCAGAAGCTGAGTCTGCCATTTCAAATCTGTGTGATCAGGAAGCAAAAGTTTGTGTACCAAAGTCCTTAGAAAAAAAATGACACAGCAAGTCAACCATTTCCTTGTGGAAATTCTCCTAATGAATGAGGTGTTATATCTGTACATGGTCTGGCACTCTAGGCATAACTTTCACAGTATGGTATTTACTATTGCTGCTTTGTCTTCAGTATCTGTTGATTTTAAGCACAGTTTTCCTAATGGAATCACGTAGATGGTTTACTTTATTGTGTCGATGTAATATCCAGTGTGTTACTCAGTTAAATGTTAGAAAGACAAACTAGCAAAACACAATGCGAGTACCCCAAAAAGATAAGATGATTCAGGGCCTAGTAGTTCCGAAGCAGTGGAGCTGCTGGCAGGGCATCCAGCATGTATTAACTATTAGAAACTTGTTGCATTGCAAATATTTATTCAGTACCCTTCTTTGCCCACTTTCTGTGGGACTACGCTTCATTACGGTGCATTTTATTTACCACACCATCCTGCAGGAAATGCTAATTTCCATTTTTGAAGCAATCTTTAAACTCCCTGGGAACAGCTAGGAACTGGAGGATAGTCCTGGTGAGGATAGTCCTGGCTGACCTGCCTGCTGAGGGCCTTCACTCTGCCTTCTTCTAGCAGTGCAATCCAGACCCTGGCCTAAGAGCAATCCTCCTAGCCTGCCTTTATGAAGTCTGCATTGGTGGAGACACCAGAAGGTGATTTAGAACACTGACGTGCTCTAATTTATGACCAAAATGATGTTTTGCTGTAATGTACCCCACTCCTCAGCCACTGTATTTCTCAGTCCTTCATATTACCACAAACCACTCAGTTCAGTGACAGGGGACTCTGATTCATGACACTTGCTGGATTCAGCTGTAGTACAGCAAAAACTGATACCTGCTTCAGCTAAACCCAAGAAGGATCATCAGTTGAAGTGTTGAGCTAAGCTCCTACTCTAAGGGCTCGCTCTCTTGCTGTGTAAGGAAGAACACTGACTTCAGCACAACCTTCAGTACCTCTACTCCAGGCACGAATCCTTCTCCTCGTTGCATTGTCACATTTGCCCTCAACGCATTTCAGGTAGCAGGGCCAGCTTTGGAAAATTCAGGGCCCACCTGTAACTCTGAGGGGCTGGGGTGAGATCTGAGAGTCACGTTGCTTTTCAGCTTCACCAAGGCCCATTCCAGAGTCCTGTCCAATCCCACATCTACATTCCCACGTTACGGCTGCACAAGGTTTGCACACAAGCAAGGTCTTCAACCCAGCTGCTGGGTCTTGGAGCCTCTGGCGCCCGCAGTGAGCTTCCCAGGTGGAGTGTTTAGACAGGCTGGGGAGCCAACTGCACTGCCGAAAGGCTGGGCTTGCCGGAGCTATCCAAAAAGTGCTGGACTGCCCAAGCTTCTCTCTTCGGCTCCTCCACATGCATGGGGAGCAGGGAGAAGTAAGGAGTATTCCTCTTGGGCACCATACACATTTTAAGTGAAAATCACCCCGTATCAATAGGATGTGCAGACAAAAATCTGAGAGAAAGGAGTTTTATTTGCTCCCTGACTGCAGGGACGGTCACACTATTTACTGACAAGGCTGTGTCAAGTATGAATGGAATTGGATCCATAACAAGAAAAGTTGGAAAAGGCAACAGGGCTACAGCAGACCACAAGATGCAGCCCATTTTGTGCTCCCGCTGGTGCGTGCTGAACATTTCCACCATACGGATTACATCTTCCTACTATCACAAATACCTCCCTTCTTGCACAGTCACGTGGATCATCTCCCTGTTCAGAATTGCATAACCTCTTCATAGCAACTGCAGCAACTGCTTACGGGAAAAATTGTAAAAGAAAATATTTAGCATATTCTAACCATTTTTAAACTTAAGCATGGGAGTTTCATGTGGTTTCTAGGCCTTTCTTTGCTATGAAAAGTCCAGAAGCGACCTCAAGAAGCATCTGGAAACAACAAAGTGAGGCTAAGAGCATAGGATGGAGCAGGCAGCTTGCCACACACTGCAGTTTGGAAGCTTCCTAGAAATGTAAGGAGTTCCTAGGAACATCTGCACGATGGAGAACACCACAACACAGGAATTCACACGAGGCGCTTTGCTTTTTAGGCTACAGAATCTCCTCAAGATGTTCTATTGGTATTGCATGGGCTTTGACTATTAACAAATTTTTGATTAACACAAAAATGCAAATTAAAAGCAAAACTTTGCTTCATTTCGTTAATATTCAAACTAAATACAAAAAGGGGTATGGAAATGTACTAGAGGTAGACCTGATCCAAAAAAGCCCCGGCATGTTCTTAAGGAAGAAAATTTACAAATACGGAGAAAAAATATCCATAGGATGAACACAGAGGGTGAAGTCCTGTTTTAGTTAGAATACATAAAATTCAATATAGGGAACATACATGTACTAAATAACTCTACCAGGCAGCTGTCGAAGAAGCAACAGCATTCTCTGTTGACTGTTATATAAAACATGTCTTTGCTTATCTTCCCTTTAAACAATAAAGAAACTCATAATTTCAACTTGCTACTTGAATGCAATAACATATCTGGAATATAAAGCCCTGATCTTGAAAACAACTGCCAGCCAGATCAAACACAGAACCTCCATTAAAACCATGGTTTGGAGAAGTACTCCATCAGTGTATATGCAATTCCTATAAATGCAACTGCTCTCCCGGATAAGGATAAAATTAATTCATGCTTAAAGTTTAGATTTTTAACTCCTTTTCTGAGCTGCAGGCAATGCTTAAGCTGTGCTGAAGTCAGTGCAACCTGAGCCAGGCTTTCAGGTTGCATCTTGTTCAGGACCAAAGCTTCCACCATCAGAAGGTCACTTTTGTTTAGTCTCCCATGAACTCACACCGTTAGCTTGGCCGTTGCTGAGTACCTCCCAGAAGCTGTATCAAAACACATTAAGTCTCCTCAGGCGAGTGGCTCCTATAGCAAAATAAAATCCCTGAAGTGTGATTAAGTGCAGTTTACTACTTTTGTGAGGATTACTCTTCAACTTTGATGCAATCTCACTTAAAAAGAAGCACTCAGCAATAGGTTACCTCAGAGGAGCGTTGCACGCAGGAGTGAAGGACACCACTCATGATCTCCATTCACTTAAAGTCCTTATGAGCATCTATCTCCAAGGATTTCCCTGACAAATGAAACTCGAAAAAAAAATACATAGTTTGCGTAAACTATGAAATCAAACTTGTGACAGCAGGTCACCTACTCTGCACACAAAACCAAGCTGACGTGTATTCATTTTTGTCCTTTAGGCTCTCAGTACACTTTGAAGTAGTTTCTGGGCAACTGTAAGATCACAAAATCAATTTCTGTCTCTTTGCTGCTCTGGTTCATCTGCTTCCCCTTGGTATCATCCTCAAATAGGATGTTTCTGGTGAGTAAGTAACATATCCGGGATTCAGAGAGTTTGTTTACATCTTCCTGACATAGTGACAGATTAAACTTTCTCTGAAAACTTACAGCTGTTCTGAAACCCTTGAACATAGCTGGTCTAATTCCCTTGAAACAAGTTGTTATTCTGGTGACTTATTTATTTAGAAATACTTATCATGCTTACTTATGTTTGGTTAGGAACACTAACCAACCAGCTGACGGCTGTGTTGGTTTCAGGTCTCACCTAAGCCAGCACTGATCTGAACCACTATCATGACTACTCCCAAATCCAATGCCACCTTCTACTAAACACTGAGCTCAACAAATCTTCTCTAAGGAGGTAAATTCACTTTAAAAGTATGGTTATCGGCAAATACACAGACATTCACCTATCCTGCTTATTTTTAACGTATGTCAGTAAAAAATTTTCAAGGATAGACCAGAAGCTATCTTCTCTTGTAAAGAATGTTTCCAAATCTATATACTACTCATATTACTTCCAACATGAATTCCACCCTTTCCTTGCATCTAGTCATTGCCTGTGAAAACCACAGCTATGCTGCAATGTTAAAAAGCCTGTGAAATCCCCAAACACATAAGGGAATAAGTGTTCTTGCCATTTATAGAACAAACCCACTCATCTGTTCCTACAGGTGGCTCGGGGGATATTTGAAGTGATAATGAGATGGAAAAGCAAACCCTTCAGGAGAACTTCAGTAAGGCTTTACCCTGACAGAATCCCCAAGAAGAGGATTTTCATCTAGATATTTTGTGAATTCCAGCTGACACAAGACTGTTCATGCTTGAGCATGTTTAGCTACACAATAAAAGCAAAGATGGGTGCAACAGTTAAGTCCCAAATGTTGAAGGATTCCTGACAGTCAGACCCAATTCCATAGGAACAAAACCAAAATGGTATGCCAGAGCTGAAGGGATATGCAGTGGTGTGCCATTCACTCTCTTCTTGCTAAACCAAGAGGTTTAACTATTGCAGGAGATGATGTGGTTTGCCAACTTTGCTTCTTATTTGGGAGGTGCCATCATTCAGAACTTCAGCAGCTCTTCTGGTGGTGCACGTGGTTGATGCTAAAATAGCTCCATTACTATTAGGAAATTGTTTTGGAACTCATCCAAGGAGGTTGGCCCATTTTAGTCCTGAATTAGTGTATTCATGCACTTGTATGTGTACGAGCTGAAGTACACACAATTCTGTCTTTAATGGTACTGGCACTGGAAAACAAGCCCTCAAATACCCTGTGTTCTGAGATGATCAGTGACAGGCACAGAAGGGAGGATAGCCGAGACAGCGAGATGGAAAAGGAAGATTAGGGCAACAGTCAGGAGGGAGGAAGAGGGAGCAGGAGGGAGGGGGACAGAGGGGGAGAGAAATCCCCATGGTAAAACTTCTTCCTGCACTGCCCACGTAGGCTGCTGCGGAAAAGCAGGACTTGTGGTTTTCCAGAAAATTTGTGGGTTATCTGCATGGAAAATATGCTAGATACAGATGAGTACCACAGCTGCAGAAACATCCATTAGGCTTCTTAGGCCAACATCTGTACAAATCTCTCAAGGGGGGGAAAAAAAAAAGTTGTAAAATAGAATGTACAACCTACAACCTACTGACCTAACATGCTGGACAGGAACCGATTCCTATCTGAACTAGTTGGTTTAAATCATGGCTTGCTACGCCCTTTCCTCAGCAGAGGAATTCACATGTTAGGAGGCAGGTGACAGTTTGTAACTGCTCTTCAGGGAACGTCATTAACAACCTGAAACTTCAGAAAACCTAGTTTGGAGATCAGCACTTGCCCTTGTTCAACAGCTCTTCAAAAATCAGTTGCAATGTCTTGGCCATTACCTGCTAGCCATGATCAATTACGGAAAATATATTACATATGACTGAAATATTCATTATTTGTGAACTCAGAAACAAAGCAGCCAGTTAACTAAAATTTTATTCTGATCACTAGCCTCCAGCTCGAGACCCCCTGTTTCTTTCTTCTGTCACACTGCGGGGTGTTACGCCGTATCTAAACTCGCTTCATGGGGCTTCTCTAGATTGGAAGGTCGTATTTACAAATCTTGCACACACTCCTCGCGCTAAGTGATCTTCCCTGTTATTGGTCCAGAAAAGTACTGAGCTGCAAAACTGAAGGTAGGCAAATCTTTTTTGTGCTGTCAGTAAGAAAAAAAAGTTCATCCAAGAAACTATATGTATTTTTTTCTGTGTTCCTTCCACTGATAGTCCTAGAAAGGACAGTATTTCACGTACCCACCACCCTGAATGATATATGAAGCATCACAGGCAGGTCTTGCAAGACGGTGGAAGATGACTACAATTCTCCGTTTCATATTGCCTTCACTATTCTGCATCTCCTAGAATGAACACACCTTATGAAACAAACTTGGATCTTTTTTCCTTTTCAGGAAGCAAATGGACTTGAATGACTTTTCACTGAAAAAAAAACTGGCCCACAGAGAAGTGGAGCCTGGCCTTTGACACGAGTCACACCGACTTAAACTCCTTCCCAGGAGCCAAACCGAGCCCGAAAGCCCATAAATCAAGGGACATGCTAATCTCTTCTGAACCTCCTAAATATAAAGCACACCTCTCCACCCACACATTAAACACAACAAGGATGATTATATAAAGATGATGCTCAGATGAACACTTAAAAACCAGGTCCTTTTAAAATATAACCCTAGCACGGCAAATTCTTCCCACTTCTGTCTTATTTTTCCAATGCTTTGACACATTTCCTGGCTTCCTATTTATGTTGGTGGGAATAACTATGGGCTAGATAGTCTGTTCACAACCTGCCTGCTGGTTTGTATGCAAACCAGCGTGGTAGCAATGCAGCTCTAGAAGCCCAGGCCAAGGCTCTTGCTGGACTGTGTCATGTTGCACCCCTGTGGTTGCTGCAATGAGGGGGTGTGTGAGGCAGTGTGAGTCTGCACCCCCAGGACCACAGCACCTCGGGTACAAACGGCCTGCAGAAAGGACAGCCTGTTGTGCTTCAGGCTCTTGAGCGTTCTGGAAAGGCTGGGGAGGCTCTAACACTGGCCAAGATATGAAGTGGACCTCCTCATGCACACAGAAAGCAGTAAAAAGCAGAGCTACTTAGACAGGAAAAAAATATTTGTTCAACTTTTACAGGCCTTGCAATTTTAGAATTTGCCTCTTAAGCATCACAGCTAAAGTACTGTCTGCTTGAAAAACCATTTTCAAAGAGGTGCATTTTTCCAAGGCTGCATTTCACAGGGCAGCAACCATCATAAAATCCCTTTCTCCATAGCATCAGTATGCATAGGAACCACAAGAATGTTTTGTCAGTTATATTTCTCTTACATTGTATACTTGCAGAACAGCAAAACATGATTTTCATCAGCTGAGATTAATACTCTAATACTACAAATATGTGCCTGTGCACTTAATTTGAGGCACACAATTTATATCTAGCTTAGTTATGTGAGCAGTGTTTGAAGGAACAGGGATGAAATGTGTATGCAAAGATCACTTGGGATTGCATTGTGTTGTTACTTGAACCTACCTTTTCCTTGATATTTGCAGGAGAACTGGTTTCTGCCATCTCTCTTCTGATAAGACTATTGCCTGTGAAAGGAGGAATAATTAAAAAGGATCAATGTGAAGCTTTTAATTCCGACCTGTCAAAGTGCTGCACCCCATAAGGACTAACACATGTGCTTACAAGTAGACATTAGAGACACATGAAAAGCACAGGATAAGAACAGGTCTTACTGTTTCCTGCACAGCAGTGCTCAATCTCGTCAAAAAATCCAAACAGCCTGATCTCATGTCCTTCTCAGATAAGTTCTAAAAAACACACTTTTACAGATGTTTCTTCACGTTTCTCCCAGCCACATCTCTTGGACCCTGTTCATTATTACTTGGTGGGATCCTTCAGGCTTTAAAAGTGAACAATGTTTAGGTGACCTCAACAGCTCCTGCTTTCTCATTCAGGAGCAATCTTAATTTAGGCCAGAATTTTTTTCTGAAGATGCAGTCCTAAAAAGCAATTAAAACTGCAAGGGCGTATGGTGAACAAGTGCTGCTTTGGTATTTCCAAAGCTAAATGAGAGGATTTAGCCATGCAGCTCCTATTGGAAGCTGACAGGGTCTGTACAGTTAAGTCTCCAAGTCTGCTCTGAAAACTTGGGCACATGTGTGGAATTTGCATGAGATTAAGAAACTTTGCTATATGCTTTTGTTTACACATAACTGCAAATAGAGAGACACTGTATCACATGATGAAGAGTTAACCCAAACTAGGGAATCCAGCTGCCTGATCCTGCTTCCAACAGTCAAACACACTCCATAGTTCACTCAAAAAAAAGAAAATCACACACTTAAACAATAAAGACTTAATCAGATGGAAGAAAAGCTCAGCTTGCTCACCCAATTTCTTCACTACACACTGGAGATTCAGTGGTAAAGAAATGAGAAGGAAATCTTCGTTCTTTCTAACTTTTGAACCAGAAACACCTGCTCCTTTCTCCTTGTTGAGCTCTTTGCAATATTTTCTGATATGTGAAAGATCCCACAACTATTCTAAATCTCTCTTAATACACCTAAACAATTCCTCCTCAAACTCCTGCTTTGAAACACAGCACTTGAGCGGAATTCAAATTCCAGAAATTAAAAGCTTCTACCAGAGTATTCATTGCTGGCATTTAAACTTGATACTCTTTTCTGTATGCATGTGTTTTCTGCTTAAAAAGACTAAATTCCAGGAAACACATTTGCCAATACAACAAAACTTTGTGTGCTTCAGCCTTAATCAAGGATGAAAGGACTCAAACGAGCTTGTCAAACCCACCCAATGGCTAAAAACAGACTTGAAAAATGTTTGGAGAGAACAGGCAAGATCACATGGAATATGAGGTCAAGACAAGCATAACTCCAATATTTAATGTGTAAAATTAAACTAAAGTGTTGAGAAATGCCTGCTGTTTGTAGGCCGGGCACACCATCTGGGGAGACTTCCTGTCTTTTGCTCTATTTCTTGCACCACACAAGCACAGAACCCAAGATCACAGTAAGGCCATCAAATTTCCCTTGCAGACAGCAAAACCTACTCCTAAATGATTCCCCGACTGCTTTTCCCCTAGCTACAGCCAGACCATGCTGGACTGAAATCTTTTTCTATTTTTAATGGATAGCCACACGTTAAGGAACGGTTATTTGGCCAGATCACTACTACCATGCAGGAGCTTTACCAATGCCAAAGACTATTGAATGCAAGCTTGCCACTGACTGAAATGCATCCAGCATTTAAGCTGATTCGCACTTTATTTAAAAGTTCTCAGGGAAAAAAAAAAAAAAACAGTTTTTGAAAAAATGAACCAGCACACCCCACAGAAACCCAGTACCATAAGAATTATAACTAAGCCTCTTCTGGTCCTAAAAATTTGTTAATCCACAAAAGGACCAAACAAAAACAGACCAAAACAACAAACACACATAGACACACACACACACACACTCACTCCACAAAGGGATGAAGAAAAGATTTACCAACTCTGATTTGCAGACTGTGTCTTTTTTCTTTTTTAAACCAAAGCTATAAAATTTAGAATTGCATCTAGCATCAAGCAAATCAATTGCATGAATTTTGTTTACCCTCTCTTAAAACAAACAGGATCTCTCTACTTATGCTACTTCAAGGATATTAGCCAAATAATGCTTCTAGTTTAAATTTGCTAATTAAACCATACGAGAACACTTAGCCAAATTTGCTCTTTGTAGCAATGCTCTGATTTAATCGAAAATCAGACACCAAAACTTCATACAGTGCCTTGCCAGATGGGATTTGGATCTCTCCTGTGCCGTATGTGCCAGGTATTGCTATGATGAGTCTCTTCCAGCGCTCAAAGTGGTACTGATTCAGCTGACCTGCAACCACAAGCTCTTTCAGGACGACTTGGCAAAACGTCACCAAACTGACAGCCTCACTGCAGAGCAACTCACCGGGCTGCTCTCTCTTCCTTAACCCCCCTTTCTTGAGCTCAGACAAAGAGGACAGTGGCTTTTGCAAAGGGGCTCATTCTTCTCAACCTCAGACTCTTCATTAATAGGTACATTACAAGCCAGTTGTCAAAATGAAGATGCTAAGGTAGCTGTTTTCACCTTCCCCAGTTGAAACAACTTGCATAAAACACTTGCTCATGTACGGAATTCAGTTCAGCACTGCTTGTTACATAAGTAAAATACCAATAATAAATAAAAAGAAAAATGTCAGTAATAGTTTAAAAAAAAAACTCTCTGTGGCTGTAATTTAAAGCTAATCATGTTAGTTTTCTCTTTGTAGCACAAATTGATTCATTTAATTGCTATTTTTATCCTGCAATTAAAAATATATCCTGCAATTATTTTTTAAATACCTGAATTGAAAATATGCTCCATTTCTAATTCTGTGAAGAAAGACTATAGCATATGAATAATTTGAGGCATAGGAATTGTCCCGGTGAAGTTTAAAAACTTTTGCTGCAAATTTGGATCTAAATTTTAAAGTGCAACACTCTGAACCCTAACTCTCAAGAGAGGCTTCTTCGTACCTGAGCTGTCTCACAGATTGCAGGGACTCTGCATGTGGAACAGGAACGGCAGGGTAGGACCCTCAATTGAGACCTAAAGCTAGAACAGGGCATTCCTTCGGGTCAATAACTGCACACATGCACGGAAGAGATCTGGAGAAAGACCTTTTCCAAAGAATTTTCTGAAGTGGCTAAGATTTCTGTTAACACAAGGGTACAATTTGTGATGCACAAAACATTGCATGGAAGGTTCTCAGCTTCAATGTCAGCTTAAACGCTTTGCCACTCTGTCCACGTCTCTTGCCTGTGCTTGTACTTCTCAAATATCACTGCATATCATACGAAGAGGACATTAAAAAGGAATGAAAGATAAAAGGAATACCATAATCTCCAATACAAATTTCCAAACATATTTCCTGGAACAGGAAATCACTCTCAATTGCTTGCCATATCCTGCTCCTAAATATGGAGAACAGGGCATTACTTTGATACCCAGGACATACTTCCAAATGGCATGGTATATATTGCCTTTCAAAACAGAGCATTTCAGCAAAATGAAAAGAGAAAACACAGGAGACTTGCTCCAAGGAAATGCTGGAGGGCAGACAGTCTAAGTCTGGCAGTTCTTTACTCTTTCTCTTCCCCTACCAAACCAAGAACCTGAAAACAACCCCCTGCAGGTTAAAGCTAAGGCCAGGCTTTGACTTGGCATTAGCTGGGGTAGCCAGCATGCTGGCACGCTTTCTCTCCTGCTGCCTGTGCTGCACACAGCAAGGGCCAATAGGGCAGAAAGCTAGCTAAAACCTTAAATCACTGCAGCAAAATATGCCAGCACTCACCTGGCACAGGTGAATAAATGTGTGGCTGCTGGCCCAGCCTCTACAACAGTTTTCCTTCTGCGCCTTCACACAGCGATAAAATCCCAGGGCTGCTGCACTCAGCCTCCAAAGAACTCCTGGTGCCGCTTTCTGGGCCGCGTGGCTCACGGAGCATTTCCAGCTAGACAGGTCTTGGGGCAAAGCTGCCAAACTCTTCATCTTGTGCCGCGTTTTGCATAGGTGGCATCGCCTGCATCTCCAACAGCAGACATCCGCAAGAGCAAGACTGTGCCTTGCACTGCCACAAAACCTGGCAATTCGCACCAGGTAGCATTTAAATGTCAGCTTTAGGAATTGCATCAGAAAGAAGAAACATCCTCTCCAGTAAAAAATTTTCCTCTTCAAATACTGAGGGGGGAAAAACTGAAGCTTAGAGAAGTGCAAATGTTGCCTGGCAGCTATGATCTGGGAAAGCACTCCAGCAAGAAGCTCTGCTGGAGAGGAGCAGATGGTGACAGCCACTCCACTGGTTTTGCTCTCTGCAGATACAACTTCTCTTTGGCAGCATTCCACAGGGAAGAGCACAGGACAATCCTGTGCTGGAGGGGGTGCTCATCTATAGGTTATGGTCAAGGAACCTCTTGCACTCCTAAAACGACACGCTTCCTCCTCTGCCCTATGCAACGTTTTCAAAGCTGCCCCCTGAACAACAGGGACCCCAGGTGCAATCGCCTTGACCCAGGTTCTGAGGTCCTCACCTGCTCCTGCAGTTGCCTGATGCACCTCATGCCAACCCGGTACTTCCTTTCCCTGGGCTTATTTCTCCCAGCTGGGCTGTGACTAACTTTTCCAGCTTCCACAAAACAACCAAAAAAAGCCTCCACCACGTTTTTATTGCACTGCTCTCTTCCCTTTCACAAAGGAGGGGATCCTACAATGGGGCTTTGAACGACAATACAGCAGCACCGTGAGGCAAGTAAATACGCGATACACGACCCTACTGCTGATAAACTTACCAGCCCTCCCGAGTGCGACTATAAACACTCGGGGTGCAGTCACTGAGGAAGCTTTCACTCCTAACAGAGCAACGGGAGTTCACAATTTTGTCACTCAAATATGTTCATAAAGTAGAACAATGGAGGACTGTGAAATAGGTATAATATCATAGAATGCTTAAGGTTGGAAGGGACCTCTAGAGATCATCTAGTCCAACCCTCTGCACATGCAGGGTCACCTAGAGCA